CAGCTCGGGCTGTTTCGCCCAGCCCCGGCTGCGGCACTGGGGGGCGGCCGCCCTGCGGTACCTGCAGGTGGCTCCCTGTGCCCCGCAGGGCGGCCCCCAGCACAAATATCTCCTGCTCGGCCCAGCCACAAGGTACGGGCACTGCTCCCCCACAGCATGAACCATAGCAGCCCCAGGGCGCCCTGCGCGCACCACGCACTGCTGCTGCCAGGGCCGGCTCTAAGCTTTTGCCGCCCGAAGCAACAAAAAACAAAACCAAAAAAAGATGGCCCTGAAAATGTGCCACCCCAAGCACGTGCTTGGTATGCTGGTGCCTAGAGCCGGCCCTGGTGAGCAGATTGCCCTGGCATCAACACTAGCTCGGGCAGAGCCCTCGGGCTGCGATCTCATCATATGGCACAGCACCGTGTGGGGGCACTGCATCCAGGGCTAACAGATGCAGCCCCCTTACCGGGTTGGCTTGGCCCGCTCTCACTAGTGCTCTCCCGTTCAAACACTGACGAGGCCTGGCAGCTTGGCAGGACTGATCTGCCAAACTCACCGTGTAGCTTGGTGTGTGTGTGCTGTGCCTGTAACGGTGCCATGCTGGGAGCCGGCAGCTGACCGGTGTGATAAACAACACCTGTGCGGTGGAGCATTGTGTGCCATACAGTGGCCGTACCTATTCTGAACCATAAAACCGGGCTGGAAAGATGTTTTCTCACGATATCACAATAATTCACAATATTTCACAGTTTAAAAACATCTTCACATTTGTGCCTCGGACTCTGGGCTTGAACTGGAGCCAGGTGGAAAAATTCCAGACAAACATTTTAGGTCAGAATTTGCATTTGTCAAAATCAGACTGTTTTGATCTGTGCTGACAGAGCCCTGTCTGATGTCTGGCCAGCACCCGCGCCCACTTGGCAGGGAGACGAGCCTGGAAGCCCTGGGCAGGCACCCCGGCTCTGGGGCAGCCCGCCACGTCGACAGAGTTGGAGACCCCAGGGCTCCTACGCTTGTAACTCCAGGGCAGCCGTGGCTCTTGGGCAGCTCGACAGGTGAACGACCCCTGAGCCAGACCTCCAGTCCCTTGAATGGCCAATTTCGACATGTTTAGGTTTGGTTCCAAATCACAACAAAACCAGACTTCAAACGATCAGCCAAGGTGGGGTGGGCTTTGGTAGGTTGCCCCTGCTGCCAGCCCCCTGCCCATGCCCGGTGCAATAGCATTCACTAGAACAACAGGGAGCCAGTTACCCCGTGGCACTGGCAGTTCCTTTCCCCCAGGGCCTTGCATCTGAACTCAATCCTCTCCATGTTTTGGGTCACCTCCACAGGGTCACAGCCTCACCCATCTGGGCCCAGGCATAGCATGGCTGCGATTCCCAACCGCTCCCAGGCAGTGCCCGCACCAGGGGCAGCCATCTCCCAAGCTGCAGGGAGCCCTGAGCTGTGAACACGGCCCCTGCAGGCTCCAAGCGGGCCAGGCCGGAGCGTCAGTGACGTGCTTAGCGGGAGCCGAGGGTGCCTGGCACTGAAAACTGCTGGCTGCAGGACAATGCGCTGGGCTCGGGGGCTGGGGTGTACCACCGCTGCACCCCTGTACCCCACCAAGGAAAATGGAGGGCTGGGAGGCACCTTCCATTGGCCACAACGGCGGTGGTGAGCGCTAAGGCTCACCCACCGGAGCACCGGGTCTGAGGGGAGAAAGCACAGTCGGCTGCAGCGGCTCAGGGACTCCCTGCCCGTGGTGCTCAGCACGCGATCTAAGCCACACTGGCTACCTGCGATGGGCTTGGCCCTCCCAGTGACAGCAGCCGCAGCCCATGAGCTTGGCCACAAAGCCAGCTAGGTGATGGGCAAGTGGGAGTTGGCCACAGGCCAGCATCGACCGGGAGCTGCAGCACCAGCCGGCCAAGAGGCAGGTGTGAGAATCCGTCGCCCCACAGCCCCGAAGAAAGCCAGCCGAGGAGGAGGCTTTGCCTGCCACGCTGCCTTTCAGGGACTATAGATTTGCTACCTCCATTTGTTTTTTTAAAGTACTGTTTTTTATTAAAACTCGCGACGCCGTTTCAGAAGCCCCCTCCCCACCGCTGCGTTGCTGGCATTTGTCCTCTTCCAGTGGGCACCCACTGAGTCCCCACTCCCAGATTCCTGTGCCGTACAAAGCACAGCCCCGGCCCTGATCTGGCACTTGGGCTTGTTGGCAAGGCAGTGCCCCTCGCGGTGCCAGGCCCTCCAGGAAGGGCTTGACAGCTGTGGGCCTTGGCTCGGGGTAGCTCAGCTCTCTGGCTCCAGCTCTGCTCTCTCCCCCCCAAGAGAACATTCTCCCACCGCCCAGGCAGGTCACATACCGGGCGACATCACACGCTCTCTGCTAGACACCGCCTAGGTGAACTAAAGGCTCACACTGCTGGTGAAATATTGCGCAGAGTGAATGTAATGCTGGGGAAGGATACCAGCCTGGCAGCCCTAGAGCCTGGAGGTGTCCAGACTGGGTACCCTACAAGAAGCAGGGCAAGTATCTCCGGGTACCGCCCGCCCGAGCTGCACTAAACGCCAGGGTCAGAGGGAAATCAGCAATAGTGCCTGGGATGTGAGTCTGAGTTGAAACCAAGGGGACAATGCCCACCTGCAACAGCAGCCTGTGCCCCAAGCCCAGCCTGGGGTAGAGGGGAGGCTCTGGAGGCGTGGCAGTGGGGTTGCAGTGGCAGCTCCAGTGGGGCTGGGCCCGGGTGTGGGCTGGAAGTGCCACACAGGCCGGGCACCCTTGGGTTCCTGATTTCTCAGGGTGCAGCTGAACCGCAGTGCTGAGCTCCAGGCCTGTTCCATCCCTGCTCTCTGCCAAGGCTACCCACCAGCGACTCCTGCCCACCCTCCGGACAGGCAGCCCTCGAGGCCAGGGTGTGGTGCCCCTCTTGGGGAGGCTTGTGCTTTGAACGTCTGCCCGATGGGAAACAGAACAAGTGAGACTCCGCCTTCAGATCTGAACTGAAGAACAATCCCAGGCCAGGCCCCTGCACTGGATCGACAGGTGCCAGCGAGCCAGGGGCAGCCGGGGCGACAGCCTGACACAGAGAAGGCACTTGGTGTACGTTGTGCCGCGGTCATTCCAGCCTCCGGCCCTTGCTCCCCGCAGCCTGAAAGAAGACCCCGATTCAGCAGCATGAGGCACGTGCAAGCGCTCCGGGGTAGACTTGTGGAGGTGTTCAAGGCACCTGCTGCCCTGGGTGTCAGACCCCTAAAACCCCGTGCATTGTGAGCAGGGCTGGCCTGAAGGAGGCGCTGCAGGCTGCGCCCTTGCTTGGGAGCCGTGCTCAGTCGGGCTGAAGAGATTGTGTTGACAGAACAGGAAGGGCTGGCGGCTATGAAAGGCCAGGCTGGGAGGCCCAGACCCCACAGTGGCACCCCCAGCTCCCCACGGCCCTCTCCTTCCCCAGCCTTGCAGCCCCCGGGTGGCTCTGTCCCTGCCCACGGTGGTTACCACCACCATGCCATTGGCTGGGGCCCAAGCACAACATGAATGTCAGCCAACCGGCGAGCAGCTCTGCCCGAGGGTGGGTGGTTTGAGGTGCCCGGAGGAGCCTGCTGGTCCAACAGGCAGAGGGTATAAACTCCTGGCCAAAGCCGCGGGCAGCATGGCCAGCCCCGGCCTGGCAGCACAGCGGAGCGTCCGTAGCCCTGCCAGATCCCACATGGAGAGGAGGGTGCAGCCTGGCAAAGCTGGCAGGATCTGGCTCACTCAGTCCGTTAGACCTTAGGTAACAAGGCAGAGCCCGGCACAGAGCTGGCTTCCCGGGCTCTTTGGGAAAGGGCCGGGGCTGAGCCTAAGCCCCTCCAGGGAGATCGGGGCTGGACTGGGGAGCGGCGAAGCCCTGGGGTGTGGGCACAGTCCAGCAAAAAGCAAGGCCTCAGCGTGGGGGCTGCGAAGGCCAGGCAGGGAGCCAGCATCATTGGCACGGAGGAGATTGCGGTCCCAGGAGACAGGAGTCGCCCTTCCAGGGCTAGTCCTACAAAGAAAGAGATGGAGTGAGCGGGAGCCTGGGCAGGGCGCCTGGCACACGGGTGTGATCGCTGGGTACGCTGCCCTCTCCGGGTTCCCCCACAACCGGGGCAGGGCTACTGGCACAGGGGTGTGATCACTGGGAACGCTGCACTCTCCAGGTTCCCCCATGTCCCGGGCAGGGTTACTGGCACAGGGGTGTGATCACTGGGCATGCTGCCCTCGCCGGATCCCCCACGTCCCGGGCAGGGCTCCTGGCACAGGGGTGTGATCCCGGGCACGCTGCCCTCTCTGGATCTCCCCACATCCCAGGCAGGGCACCTGGCACACGGGTGTGATCACCAGACACCCTACCCTCTCCGGATCCCCCCACATCCCGCAGGGCGCCTGGCACACGGATGTGATCACTTGGCATGCTGCCCTCTCCGGATCCTCCCACATCCCAGGCAGGGCGCTTGGCACACGGGTGTGATTGCCAGGCACACTGTCCTCTCCGGATCCCCCCACATCCTGGGCAGGGCTCCTGACACAGAGGTGTGATTGCTCTCTGCCTCCTCCAGAGCCCCACAAGTCCTTCTGGGTACAGAGGGCCATGAGGGTTTCTCCTCAGGGAACCATCCATAGCTCCCGCCGCCCAGCTTCCCCCGTGAGGGTGGGGAGCAGGAGGTGGGGGTCCAGGCAGCACCGTGGCCCCAGCTCTCCTCCCCTCAAGACCAGCGAACCAAGTGACTGGTTCCTGCCCCCCACCCCCGGGGGAGCACGTCACAACACCCCCCCGTCACCCCTGCAGCAGGCCCCCCGGCCCTACCCATTCCGCTTCATCCACCCCTTCGAAGGATTCCTGCGGCAGGGGGTCGTCCCGGTTACCCAACTTGGCCACCATTGCACTCAGCAGCTGCAGGGAGAAGGGCAGAGCGTTGGTGCCGTCCCACAATGGGACCCAGGGGGCCTTCCCAGCGCTCGCTGCCCCCACGGTGTTTGCTACTGGTGGCCGGGTGGGGGAATATGGGCTCTGCAGCCCTGCTCCCCTGCGCCGGGCATGGAATGGAGACTAACTGTCCAGTGGGCACTGGTGTGCCAGATACTCCCCCTCCCCCAGGAGCGCTGGTGGGTCAGTGCCTGGCAGGAGGCTCCATGGGGCTGGTGGGTGGGGTCAGTGCCAGGCAGGGAGGGGCCTCCAGGGGGCTGGCAGGCAGGGTCAGCACCAGGTGGGGAGGGGGCTCCAGGGGGCTGGTGGGCAGGGTCAGTGCCAGGCGGGGAGGGGACTCCAGGGGGCTGGCAGGCAGGGTCAGTGCCAGGCAGGGAGGGGGCTCTGTGGGACTCATGGGCAGGGTTAGCACCAGGCAGGGAGGGGGCTCTGTAGGGCTCGTGGGTGGGGTCAGTGCCTGGCATGGACAATGGAGGGACCCAGCAGGGTCAGTGGTCCCCAGCACTGGGCCAGGTCCAGCCTGCAGCTGTGGGGGCAGGGTGGCCTGGCTGGGCAGTGCTGGCTGGGGCGGGCAAGCCGAGGCAAGAAGAGGCACACGGGTCCCTGGGGCAGCCCACCTCCTCCTTCTTCTGCTCATCAGACTTCTCCTCCAGGTAGACCGAGGCTGGGACATACTTTCGGGTCGGCACATCCTGCGGGGCCGCGCTCACTGGCACAGACGGGTCCAGAGGAGAGAGCAGCATTAGCACCCATCTCCTCACCCCCTGCCCCACCCGGCACTGCCCAGCCCTGAACTCACCGGCCTTCACAAAGGGCCACCAGAGAACTGCTCTGCATGGCCTCCTCCAGTCCCCGAGAGAGACGCCATCCTGGGGTGCAGCCTGCCCGCCCAGAGCCTGGCAAGGACCCCCGGACCCCTCCCCTGTCCGCCCTAAGCCCAGCAAGCGTTTGCCAGTCTGATCAGCCTCAGCTGGGGCTGTGGGTCCTTCTCCCAGTGCCACATAGCCAGGGACGCCTCCTCTCCTGAGCGCCCTCACTCCACTCCACGACGCTGGTGCGTGTGGGGAAGAGGAAGGTGCATGGGACCCACTCTGCACCACCCGGGGGCCAGCCCCCACCTGCGCTGTACCTGGCGCTCTGGGCCCCTCCCCCCCCATGGCCCTGCCCTCGCCCACCTGGCGTCATGTCCTGGGGCTGCAGGCTGATGGTGCGGTGCTGCCCATCAGTTCCTGCGCGCCAGGCCGCGGCACGGAGGGCCGGCTCCCAGCATACTGCGGTGGCTGGGTAGATGTCGTCCTGGAAATAGTCCTTCTGCACGGGGGAGGAAGGCCAGGGTTAGGGGCTGTGCGGGGCAAAGGAGCTCAGCCTGCCCAGCCCCGTAGGGAAGGGGGAGGCAGCACGCCAGGGCTCGCTCCTCGTGCAGCCCAGGGAGTCCAATGCCACCCACCTTGACTCGGGGGACCCTGAAGGCAACCGGCTCGATGGAGCTCTGCCTCAAGCGCAGAGCCCTGGCAAACTCCACCTCTCGCACATCGCATTCCGTCTTGGGCAGGAACACGAAGCCCTGGGAAAGCAGAGAGGGAGATGTCAGAGTCCGCCCTGGCCTGGCAGCTCCACCCCCTGGGGGCCTGGCCCCCGTGAACCTCACTTCCAGGGCACTCGGGACACCGACAAGTCCTGCTCTCCTGCTCAGCGGGGGGGCAGGGATGGCAGCGGAGTGATGGGCCCGCAGGAGGCCGTGTTCAGGCAGTGCTACCAGCTCCTTGGCACTGCCTACTCAGGGCACAGGATTTGTGCAGGTCCCATGGCCCTCTGCAGAGTTACAAGGCAAAGCCAGAGAGGGAAGGCCTGAACCACCAATAAGATGCAGCCATTTCTGGTGTGGAACCTGGCAGCTGATTAACAGCACAGGACAACAGCATACAAATGAAGAAACCTGACAGTCGTTTGGCACTGCAGTGGGGCTGAATGGAGGCAGAACATCCTCACTCCAATTGGAACAGGAGCCCAGTCTGGCATCCCGACCCCTGCAAAAATTGCAATGGGGTGGCATACAAAGGATGGTGCTGCCCCCTGGCCCCACCCTCTCCTCCCGCTTCTGCCCCTCCCCGGCAGTCTCTATAGCACCCTGTGCCACAGGGCTCCTGGTGCAATCTGGGCTGGGCTGTGAAGACCAGGTGCCCAAAGCCCACGAGAAAGGCCCTACTCCCATGGGAACGGTCTGTCGGCTGCCTATGTGGGCAACATTCACCATGCCAGACCCTGGGGCTCAGCACGAGGAAGGGCAGTTCAGGGGTTCAGCACCGCCTTCTCTCCCTCCCTGTACCACACCCCACACTGTGGAGAGCCAAGTCTCCGGGCGCACCTCTAACCTGGTGCCCGCCCATGGACACCCATGCTCAGGGAGGTATGTGATGCTCCTGCCCACACCCGGCCAGCTGCAGAGGGACCGCTGCAAACTCCAGCAGCCTGGGGGGCAGCTGCCAGCCTGGACTTTGGGGGGGGGGAGGCTGGGGGCACTGCCAAGGGGGCTTCGCCTGCACACACCGGTGGGAAGCTCCACCTACCTCTGGAGTGGATTCCTCCTGCACACGTAGCACGGGTTTACACCCGTGTCCCTGCACATGCCCCACGGCACCACGAGGCCCTCTAGCGGCCGTGGCGGGGAATTGCTACGCTATAACGCCCCTGCATACTGGAGATAGTGACTCCCCTGGACGGCCACTAGAGGGCAGCTTTGCACCTGCTATACAAGGGAGTGAAGTGGCGAGTTCCGGGGCTGCAGAAGGACTGGCAGGGAAAAGGAGGAGGTGGATCTGTCTGGGGATGTGGCCCGGTCTCCCCGGGGAAGGGCTTACACATCCCGTCCCTGGGATACTGAGCCCTGGGCTGGTCAAGACCTGGGGAAGGCGTGATCGGGGAAAGCCCTGCATGGGGACCCATGGGACGCAGCGGGCTCTGCCGTCGCTAGGTCCCGGCTTTGCCCACTCTGCCATGCTCTGATGCAGCGATGTGGCCTGGACCAGGACTGTGCCCCTGGTGTGACAGAACCACCCATGGCCTGGGGCCGTTCGAACCAGGACAGCTGGCATGGAGCACCTCAGGTCTCCTTGCTCAGGTGGTGGATGCAGAAATTGCCCCCCATGCACAGACTGGGACTGAGCCAGGGAGCGGAGGCGTTGGGGTCTCTGCCCTCATCAGCTGTTGGGAGATCCAGCTGTCCCAACACAGCCAGCCGGGCAGCTGCCCCATCCACCCAGCCTCGCAGAAACCTGCCACCAGCCAGGGAGGGCAGCAGCAAAGGCAGGCGCTGCCAGACCGCCCCCAGGCCTAGCTCGACTGGGGGAGGCCAGGGCACACGCTGCACAGGCAGAGCCCAACTGGGGGTGGCTGGAGCCCCGCCTTTGTGAGCGGGCAGATGGCCTGGCACCGCAGAGGTGACCCTGCTCCCTCTCTGCCCAGGGCCCTCTCCCCGCCAGCCCTGGTACCTTGTGAGGGTCGCTGGAGGCGAAGCTGTTGCACTCCAGGAAGAAGGGTGCCTCGGAGACCAGCTCGTAGACAAAGACTCTCGTGTCACCCTAAACGCCAAGGGCAAGGAAAGTCGCGTGAGGGGAGAGCTGGCGACGTACGGGATACGGCCAGGCCGGGTGCCGATGTCGGGGGCAGCTGCCGTGTCCCCCTGGCGTTGTCGTGGAGGTGCGGTGTGTGGCGAGTGAGCTGGGATGCAGCAGCCTCATGGCATCATGGGGAGGGAGGCAATGGTTCCGCGGGGAGGCTCCGTGGCGGGACCCAGAGGAGGAGCAGCCCCCAGCCCCCCAGGGCTTGCTGCACGGAGAGCATGGCCTGAAGCCTGGCCGCTGTGGGACGGAGCCAGTGGTGCTGTCCGGGCCAACAGCCTCCCAACGGGGGGGGCCAGGCAGGGAGCTGCTCCCCCGCGCAGGGAGACTCCGCTCCATCATCCTGGGCCCAGCCCTCTGGAGACCCCCACCCCAAACAGAGCATGGTCACTGATGCCCCAGTGGCCGGGCACGGGGGCACTCCCCGCTGGGCTGCCGGGCACTGCCTCTCTCAGGCTCACACACATGTGCCAGGGGCCTGTGCGACAGGCAGAGCACAGATGCTGCTCAGCCCTTTCTCTAATGCCACAGGCTCTTCAACTGCTGGTTGGCCTGGGGCAGCCCCGCTTGTATTCCTGGCACAGTCTGAGGCCTGGCAGCTCGGCCGGGACGTGCCACCCGCAGCGACAATGGAGAGACAAGGATGGGGCCTGTCGGTCTGAGCCCTGGGAACGCCCCAGTCGTGCTCCTGGCTCCACCGGGACCTCGCTCTGCAACTCACTTCCAGGTTGGCTCCGATGCCCAGCCCCTGGCAGGGCTGGTGAGGAGCTGGCAGACACCCTGTCTGTGCGAACTGGCTGAGCCGCCCCTCCCCCAGGCACTCACCTTGCCCGTGAGGAAGACCACGCTGGTGTCTGGGTCGTAGAAGGGGATGAGGGTGGAGGGAGCCGTGTCGATGCTCACCACTGCCAGGGGCCCGGCTGCCAGGGACGCTGTGTCAGACAGATACAGCTGGCGCTCGCTGCGGCTGTGTGGAGAACATGGCGCGGATCAGTGGGGCCCGACACCGGTTCACCACACAGCTGCCCTCACCCTCCTGCGGGAAGATGCTGCTCCCTTGGCGATCCCATTCCTGGGGCACTGCCATGCAGGAGGCCAAATGGCGCAGAGGCCGGCTCGGCTCAGGCTGTGGCTGTCTCCCAGTCAGGATGTGCACCGGGCTGAGCAGGGGAGCTGGGACACAGGAATTCGCAGGCCGGGCAGCAGGGAGATGGATGAAGTGCCAGAGTGTTGACTTGGTGTCTAGATAAAGGCCAGGTGCAGAGCAGGGCAGATGGAGCTGGCTTCAGGGCCCAGGCCTGGCTCCCAGCGGGGAGATCTGCAGAATGGCAGCTGGCTTTGCCTCCTGGACCCCTCGCTGGAGCCACCTCTCACGAGGCCTCCTGCTGCGCTAGCAGAGCTGCTCTCCGCCCCGCCTGGCGCAGCTGCAGGCTCCTGCCTGGTCCCCAGAGACCCCCTGGGGCTTCCTCCACAAAGTGACCCCAGTGTCCCAGGGAGTGCGTGGCCCCCTTGGGAATGCAGCCCCGTGGGGCAGCAGGGCCAGAGTGCAGCAGCAGTTTAGGACAGGAAGTGAAGCCCTGCTTTGCCCACCAGCAACCCCCGGCCCCAGTCCCCAGCAGAGCAGTTATCCAAGCTGGGACGCTGCAGCATGGCCAGCCACACAACCCAGCCAGGAGGTGACTGACCCCCTGGGTGCTCCCTCTGGGGAGGGCGTGGGTGCCACGCTGCTCCGGGCACTGGCATGAAGCTGGCATCCCTCGCTCCTGAGTTTTGCCTTGCGGAGCAGGCGGCACAGCCTGGCTGAGGGTACAGCCCTGCTGGGACCAGCGATCAGTGCAATTCGGAGCCACAGCCTGCATGTGGGGTCAGCTGCAGAGGTGGCTGCACTGCCAGGACCATGGCAATGGAAGTTATCGCAGGGCGGTGACCTGCGCAGGTGACTGATGGCCTGGGGACGCAGCACCAGCCCTTACCTGTCGAAGCCAGACACCAGCAGGTAGCGGCCACCACAGACCCAGACCAGCCGCGCACCTCGCCCGCCCTCGGGGCCGGGGCCTTCCTGTGGGGAGGAGAGAACCGTGACTCCCCAGCACACGCCCCCCATGTTCCCCGTACAGCTGCCTCCACCCCGGGGAAAGGGGAAAAGGCTGCGCAGGGCAGATTCGGGGTGGGACAGGGAGGCAGGAGCGGGAGCACGTGACTGGCTGGGCACAGCAGAGCACACTGCTCCCATGCTGCCCCCTCCCCCTGCTGCCAGCCAAGCACCCCCACAGGGACCCCTGTGCCCCACAGCTCCCTCCTGGTCCCCCCACAGCCCCATGCCTGCCTCTATCATGTCCTCCCCTCCACCCTCCCAGGAGGAAGCAACTGACCCCTCACCTGCTCGGGCTCCGGGGACTGGCGGGGCACATAGACCCGCAATCTGCCATCCTTGCTGACTGTGGCCAGCTTCCGGCCATCCGGACTCCAAGCCAGGCTGAAGATCTGAAAGACACCCGCTGCCTGCGTCATGCATGTCCTGGCCCTGGGCACCAGCCGCGTGGTGCTCATCGAGCATGGTAAGCAGGGAAGGGCTGGCAGCGATGGGGCGGGCAGGGTGGGGCCCCCCAATCCAAGCTGTGACCTTGAGGAGCTGGCTTGGGAGAGGCTGGCAGCTCACACTGGAAGGGTTAAAGCAGAGTGGGGCAGCATGGACTGTGGCAGTGGAGGGACCTCTGCAGGCAAGGGGAGAATCAGCAGGGGGCCTGCTGGCTGAATCAATCTATGTGTGCTGGAGAAGGGGGCCCAGCCCCACACTGGGACAGCCACAGGTCCCCTGCGGCTGCCTCTGCCAGGCCTCGCTCCCACGCTGAACCCGTGCCAGTTTAAATCAGTTTAGCTATGCCAGTCTCCCCCCACGGAGATGCTCAGATTTCCGATTGGCACTTGTAGCCCACGCCCAGTGTGTCCCACGCAGCCTGGCACCGGCATGGGGACGTGGCTCTGGGCACACCAGGCTGGCCTGCACTCCTGAACCACACCAGCTGGGGATGGGAATCCTGAGGGCACACAGGGTGGGATCCAGACGTCAGCCCCACAGACAGGCCCCCCAGAGACAGGGGCTCCCTTAGCTCAGGTCCCAGTCCCCCGCATACCCACAGGCAAACAGACACACCCGGCAGGTGCTGATTCCCACCCCCTGCCAACGCGGTCCCATCTGTCCAAGCCCTGCTGGGGAGCGCGGGGATCGGCCGTGGGCAGGGCCCTCCCAGCACCGCCGCCATGAGGCTCAGTGGTTCAGCTGAGACATTGGCTGGCATGGCTGCAAGCTGGCAAAGGCCAGTTAGGATGCAGTGCCTCTGTTCTGAACGTGCTATGCCGGGACTCAGAGTGTGGGGGCATGGGGCGTAGACACTAACAGCACTGCTTCGTAGTACAGCTCCTGGGCTCTCCGCTCACACCCTGCCTTCATCCGCATTGACCCTGGGACAGTGACTGGAGCTTATGCCCCTGCAGCCAGAGCTCTGCCCGGTGCTGCCCTGGGCATGTGCCAGCAGCTGGGCCGGGCAGGCGCTGAAGCCCGGAGAGTCAGGCTGGTCTGGGAGTGGGCCGGTGGCGAGCTCATCTGGAAGGATCTGGCTGGAGGGAGCTACCCCCTTGCGTGCGTCTTTGGGCTGATCCCTGGCGCACGGAGGTCTGACACGCCCCAGCTGCCAGACACAAGCTGTCCCTGTGTTCTTGGCCAAGCTTGCCTGGCTTGGTGTCCCAAGGGAGCATTCTGGGACTGACCATCTCTTGGGAGGGGTTTAGCATTCTGAAGGTGCAGCGTACAGCGGGCTGTGGGGGATTCTCATCTCCCCGGCTATGGCCGGCTGCAGATGTTTATGCATTTTAAAAAGCCCTGTGTATTTCTCCGGCAGCGACAGCCATGCTCCATGTCACTGACTGCATCCTCCCTTCCTGCGTGGGGCTGTTGCAGTGTGGGGGAGCTGCAGGCCTTGCCTGCCCATGGTGACTCCTTTTCCTTGCCCCTTGGCACATCAGGGCATCCACCAGCACCAGCCTCCCCCCGCCTTCCCCACACAGACCCCCACGCCGGGCACTGCTCTGCCCAGCTCCCTAGGACGGGCGCATGGCTTTGCCCTGGCCTCGCTTGCCCCCTACCTGGTCTCGGTGCCCCCTCAGGCACAGCTCCTCCCTGCCCGCCTGCAGGTCCCAGATCCGCACGCTCATGTCGTAGGAGGAGGAGGCCAGTATGTCTGCAGCCAGGGGGTGGAATTTGAGGGAGTAGATCTTCTCCGTGTGACCTTGGGGAAGAGAGAGGGGAGATTTCCGTGGCCTGGCACGGACAAGGGAGCCAGGGCGCGACAGGAGCTGATGTGCCCTGGCGCTCTGTTCAGAGCCCCCAAGCGCATGGCGTGTGAAGCCCAGAGCAAGGAGCCGGCGAGCCCGGTCTATTGAAACCAGACTTGGTTAGAGGGACAGAACGGTGATAGCGCCAGCGCCCCGTCTGCACCCCACCTGGCACCAAGGGAGCCAGCCAGTTGGCATATCCTGGGGCCCTGTTTCTCCAGCAGTGCCACACTCCTGTCCCCTCCAGATAGTTTGCTCTGCAGGCCCCAGCTTAGAGACGGACTCATCGGCTTAAGGGAAAGCTTCGCTCCAGCGCAGCATGACTGCGGGGCAGGCCAGGTAAACCCAGCCAGCAGGCCGGGCACTCGGAGCCTCTCCCTGGCTGCCAGCAGCGCAGACGCCTCCACAGCCCTTACCTCTGAGCACGGCCTCAGGCTCCAGCAGCGTCTCCTGCAGCCCTCCAGGGGGGATTCGCCACAGGCGGATCTTGGCATCGTCGCCCGCTGAACACCCGAGGTTGCCGAACAGAGACAAAGAATGAGACGGGTGCTAATGGGTGCTGGGCACCAGTGCCTGGGAGGCCCCAGGAGCAGGCAGGCACTAACAGCCTCTGCCCCTGGGGATGCTGGGGCCTTGGGCAGGCGAAGATCAGGGATGCGAGCAGTCCTCTGGGAAGGACAAAGGGCCGAGGCAGCAGGACAACCTGAAATGTGCCCACACCCCGAGTGGCCGCCCCGAACACGTTTTAAAAACTGCTAAAACTTCATTTTCAACCACTCCTAAAAACCTCCCGCTCCCATTTCCCAGAGATTGCTTGGCCTGTTTTAATCACCCACTGAAATCCACAGGGGAAGGGATCCGGCCGAGGAGCCCCAAGGCAATGGCAACAATATTTGGGAAACGAGCACATTCTGCACTTGTCGGTTCTCCTGGAGTCAGTGGCATGAGCCTCGTTCCACAGGTGGGGAAACTGAGTCACGGAGCCCTGTCCTACAGCAGTGACTGGCCTGTGGCTACCCAGCAAGTCAACAGCAAAGCTGGGGCTAGAACCCAACCCGCCCAATGGGTCCTGATGCAACCACTAGACCACACTGCTCATGCAGTGATTACCAAAAGATCAGGAACTCACTAGCCTATGAGAGGAGATCCAGCAGTATGGAGGAGGAGGGGAACCAGATCCCAGGGCTGGGAATCAAGAGATTCTACTCCTGGCTCTGCCACCTGGCTCACCTTGGGTGAGGGAATAGAAACTGTGCCTCAGTTTCCTCATCTGTAAAATGGGATTACACAGATTCCCTTTGTGGGTGAGGCGGGGGAAGGGCTTGGGGGCTTACTGAAGGTCTACAAAGCACGTTGGAGATCTGTGGAGAAAGGCACCAGAGAAGGGCAGCGAAGAGGGACTGCTGATCTTTACAATGTGTCCTGGGAGGGGGAGAGCATCGGACAGCCCTGGACATGGGTCTGGAATGAGGAGAGTTCTCCCAGGCCAGCAGCACAGCCCCACCCCCTGCAGTGGGGAGCCGGGTGTTAGGGGAGTACAGAGAGTTCACACACCGACTGCGAGGCGCTGCAGGTCGAAGGGGTCCCAGCAGAAGTCTGCGACCGGCGTCCCATTCTCGATGGTGGGCACGGATGTGTCGGGGAGCCGGCCCGGCTTGGAGAGCTGCAGCAGAGTCCCGCAATCAATGCAGCGCCGCAGCTCGGTTACCTTCACCCCATCCCCAGGCGTGCCCCGGCGGAGAGGATGGCGCCTCACTTCCCCTCCCCCAGTCTCAGCACCACCCTCCCCTGGCCAGGCGTGATAAGCTGGCTCACAGAGGGGATTACAGACCCGCTATTGCTACCACCTAGGGGAGCAGCCTTTCAGTGCAGGCTGGCGGGGCTGAGGGTTTTGACACCAGAGTTCTCACCCCACATGTGTGATCTCCTCAGGGACATGTGCCTGCAGCACACTGAGCTGTCAGAGCGGGGCTGGCTGGGGGGAGCCAGGCCCCAGACCCAGGAGTCCAGCTCTACTGGGTCCCCTGTGTGATACCGCGGCACCGGGGGCTGGGCCAGCCAGGGAATGGAGTCTCAGCAGCACCTCCAGCCGCTCCTCTTGGGCAGCGGGCAGCGGGCACCAGCCACAGCAGAGCAGGCCAGGGCTCTTTCAGCCCTGGGGGGGCGGGGTGGAGGCATGCTGGCAGGGAAGCTTGCCCTCCCAGGGCCCATGCCGTGGCATGTCCCAGCAGCGCCCAGCCCCGCTGCGCACCTACCTCCAGCACGGCGATCTGCCCGCCTGCTGACAGCAGCGGGACGGCGACGCGCAGCCGGTTGGCGCAGACGCCGTCACTCTCTCCTGGTGTGGTAAGGTTCAGCCCCTTGAGGTTGGTGATGTGGGTGCCGCGGGGCAGCACCGTACCCAGGGTGTGACGGAACTTGGAGCTGGGCCCTGGGGGGGACAAGGGCAGGAGTGAGGGATTTGCCCCCAACCAAGACAAGGCCTCACGGACCATCCCCAGCTCTGGCTGCCCGCCTGGGCCGAGGAAGAGCCGGGCGCCAGCTGCTGCTCCTCTCTCTGTCCATCTTCCAGGAGACAGCAGAGTGCCCTGTGCATGGCAGCTGCCTCGCACCCGGCTCCAAGCTGCACCCGCCTAGCCAATCGCCCGCCCGCCCCCCGAGCGGCCGCTCGCACTTACCCAGAATGCTCTGCAGGGACTTCTGACTGGGACTGGGGCTGGTGGTGGAGAGAGATGGGGCTGAGCTGGAGGGAGAGCTCAGGGAGCTGAGGGGAGACGAGAGGCCGCTGCCCTCCTGGGGGAAGAATAGACCCCACAGGGAGTCAGGGGATTAAACAGCCCGGCCAAAGCCCCTGCCTTCCACCCAACGCAGCCAGGCAGGGAACCAGACAGTGGTCAGGTGCCAACCCATGGGGGATGGGAGCTGCATTTCCTGGGAGTCATCAGGGGATGGGGGGTAGCTGGGAGAATCTGATGCTGGGGTAGAATAGCCAGAGGTTGCTGATTGGACTGGAGAGTGTTGGCAGAGCTGGGGGCAGGGCTGGCAGAGCCAGGGACAGCGCTGGCAGAGTCAGGGGCAGGTCAGGATTGGAAGGCATTGGCAGAGATGGGGGGGCAAGGCTGGCAGAGATGGGGGCCAGGTTGGGATTGGAAGGTGTTGGCAGAGCTGGGAGGCAGGTTGGGATTGGAGGGTGTTGGCAGATGTGGGGGGCAGGACTGGCAGAGTTGGGGGCAGAAGGACTGGCAGAGCTGAGGGGCAGGTTGGTATTGGAAGGCATTGGCAGAAGTGAAGGGCAGGGCTGGCAGAGGTGGTGGGCAGGTCGGGATTGGAAGGTATTGGCAGAGGTGGGGGGCAAGGCTGGCAGAGCTGGGGGGCTGCTGGTTGGGATCAAAGGGGCAGTGTGTGGGGTTATAGCGCTCAGACACTGACAGGGGTGTGGGATCAAGGCCTGCCCCCGCCCTCCACAAGCCTTTCACCCCACACGACACTAATAGCCCCCCCCAACCCTTTCCGTGGCCGTTTGTCACAGTCCTGGCCCCGCCCTTACTCCTGTGCCACCCTGCACACCCCCACCCAGGTTCTGGGGTGACTGCCCCATACACCCTAGGCCAGGTGTGCCCCACGCCCCAGTGCACGCTGGGAGCTTGGCAGCGCCCCAGCGATGTGTCAGTGTGTGGGACCCCGAGGCAGCCCCTGCCCTGTGGGCTGGCAGCTCCAGCCAGGCCCGGCACTCACGCTTCTGTCCACGTCCCCAGAGCGGGCGGCGGGCTGCTGGGCGGCGGGTGGTGCAGGCTCCTCACGCCGGGCAGGGGGACACAGGCAGGAGGTGAAGGTCTCCCGGGGCCTGCGGGCAGGGTTCAGGCTCATCTTCTCCACCTGATGGGCAGCAGCAGAGGGTCACTGCCCAGCACTGTGGCTGCCACCCCAACCTCTCATCACCCCCAGGGGGCTCTCTGAAGCCTGCAGAGGGCGGCGCTCCCTGGAATAGTCACCCCGGCGGGGCAGAACCACCAGCCTGCTCTACATGGGGGGGTTCCCAGAGCTGCCACCCTCAGCTAAGCGATGATGGGAATGGACAAGGCGCTGGCTCCAAAACACCACGTCACGGAGACCTGCCCTGGCGGTGACCAGCCTCATCAGCGAATGCCACGGTAGCACTGGGTAGCACAGTAGCCTCACACCACCGCCACCAACGGGGGTGGGGGGGCTCACACCAATGGCACCAATGGGGGGCCTCATCCCAAGCACCAACGGGGGGCCCCTTGTACACTGGTACCAATGCGGGGGGCCTCATACCACTGGCACCAACAGAGGGGGCTCACGCCCTTGGCACCAATGGGGGGGGCTTTTACCAGTGGCACCAAGGGGGGCTCACACCCTTGGCACCAACAGAGGAGGCCTCGCACCACCGGCACCAACCGGGGGACTTATACCTCTGGCACCAATGGGTGGGCCTCACGCAACCAGCACCAATGTGGGGGCTTATATCACCAGCACCTGTGGTGGGGCTTATACCACCAGCACCAATGGGGGGGCTCGCACCCTTGGCACCATTGGAGGGGAAGGGCACCGTGGCACCAATGTGGGTAGCAATGGAGAGAAGCTGTAGAAGGCCCTCTCCTTAGGCACCCCAGGTCTCCGAAGGCCAAGTCAGCAGCTGGGTGGGTACCTGCTTGTTGTCTCCTGCCCACCAGCCCTGCGCTGACACCGCAGGGACGGGCCCAGTGGAGTCCGGGAACAGATCTTCGTGGAACTCCTGCAAGGACTGGAAGAGACACAGGCTGTAAGTAGCATTGAACGACCATATGCCAGGGAAGGGCTGGCATGATCCCGCCCCCTGGCAGGACCATCGCTGTGAGCATGAACCTCACTGGGGAGAGGGGGTGCAGGCTAAGACTCAATCCTGCAATTCAGTAGCCAGGGCAGCTGGCCGCACCTGCCCCCTGGGGTTCGTGTGGGACCTGCTGAGCCATGTGCTCCTGGGAGCGAAGGGACAGAGCACGGCTCAGAACGGTTAACATTATCCTTCGGACTCAGGCTGGCCCGGTGGCACGGGGCTGCCAAATATCCGTGCCCAGGGCCGCCCTGGCTCCCCCCGCGCCGGCTCACCTTGCGGGGCACCGTGTAGCTGATGGGAACAATGAAGCTGTCCGTCAGCTGCAGGACTCTGAGCACCTCGCAGGACATGACGTCCAGCGCCTGCTTTGGCACCAGGGCGGCGCCCTTGGCCTTGCCCTCTGTCAGACACTGGGTCACTAGCGGGAAATGGAGACACGGTGTGAGCAGGGCTGCGCTGCCCATCACCTGGAGAGGCCGGGCAGCCTGTGGGACTATCAGCAGGTATTTACTGGCGTCAGAGCCTTCTGGGGGAGGACATGGACCCCAGCCCTGCCAGACCCCAGTCAGGCACAGGCCTTCCCATTACGTACCCGCTCCAGCCCCGCTGAATTTGGCCCTTGGGCACTGCGGCTGGTCATGCTCTCAAACCCAGCACAGCCTTGCAGGCTTGTCGCTCACTTGACATCCGTGCCCAGCGCAGTTACAGACCAAGCTCCCCGATCAGCCATCCCGGGGCACGGGCGGGAGCCCTCTCTGCACCAGGTTGCAAGGCCTTGTTTCAATTGCCAAAGCCTCAGGCAGGGCAGTGCTCAGCACGTAGGCCAATCTACCTGGCCCTGTGGGCACTACCCCTGCCAGCCACCACCCCACGCTGGCCTTTCAGGCATTCATAACTGCTTTTCGTGTGGCTCGGCCAGTGGCACAAGGAGGAGCCAGCATCACTGGACCAGCCCACGCCATGTGCACCACGGGAAGCCCCGGACATGCTGACCCAACGAAACCAGGCAGCAGGTGTGGGGGCAATCAGGGTGCCTCAGGGCCAGTTTAGCACACAGGCGGCCGGGGCCAACTCTTGAGTCGTCCCAGAGTTTTCCCCGTCCCAAGCCAACCCCCTGGGGCCCCTCATACTGCGGCTAGGTGATCTCCTTGCCGCTGGCTGGCGCGATTCACTGCGCTGCCATACGTGGCCCCTGACACCCAGGGACCTGCAGGCTGTCCCCCCGCCTGGGGTCCAATTCTCTTAGGACCCTGTATCCAGGGCAGCCCCTCCAGGGATCGGGGTCCCCTGCTCCCCCAGTGTGACACTGTGTGCCCTGCAGGCTGCACAGCCGCTCCGTTAGCAGGCCTCCTCCCACCCCAAGCTAGCCCCACGAACAAGGGCTTGGCTGTGTCGCCCGGCTATTCCCAGCGCACGCCACACAGGTGGTCCCACTGAGCAGCCCCCTGCCTGTGGCGCTCACGGTGACCGACTGAGTGCATCGGCCAGGCATACTGTGGGGGTGTAGCATAGCACTGTGCCCTGTGTCAGGGACTGCCCTGGCATGGGTTGGGCTGCCAGCTGGCCTGGGCTCTCACCCATTCCCTGTCACCAGGCTCAGCCCTTAGACTATACACAGCTCACAGCATCCCAGGATGTCCCGCGGGCACTCACCATTATTGGATTATTGGAGCACTGCTCAGGCGGACTGAGCCCACTGGCTAATATCAGAGGGTCCCTTGGGGGGGGGAGGGGCAGTCAGGGGGACCCCAATACCCAGGCCTCCCCCCAAAGAAGTGGGCAGCTTCCCATCTGCCATGTCAGCCCTTCCCACAGCCTGAGAACAGCGCCTGGGGCCGGGTACCCCAGGTCCATCGGGCTTGGGAAGGGAAGTGCGGGGCGACCGCCAGATGGATACTCACCCTGTGTCAGGGCTGGCAGCGAGGGGCACACTTCAAAGCAGTAGAGGAGATTTTCACCCTGAAACAGAGACAAGATGGCAGGGCCAGAATGGCCGCACAGGCCCTGGGCAGGCACAACGAGGCTGCCCCCGCCCAGGCTCGGCACCGCTGCAGCCAACTCTCGCCTGGACACACCGGCCGCCATTGGGGCTTCAGAGACAGTGAAATTCTGCTGCCTCCACCCCAGGGATGGAGCGAGACCCCTCGCCTGGGAACACCCCCTAAGGGGACAGGGCAGTGATGCCCCCCAATGCAGTGCACCCAACCTCACCTAAGGGGGAGCAGAGGGGTCTAAAACAAGGGGTCCCTGCTCAGCTGAACCCCACCACGGGAACTAGGGGGAAACCATGCTCCTGGCCCAAATGCTTTGGGGTGAGAGCCCCAGAGCCCCCAAGGACAGCTCTGGCCCCCCAGTGACAACAGCTGCAGCATGGTCCCTCTGCTCTCCCAGCACTCACCTTTCCAGCCACCACCAAGAGCCCGGTGTCGGGGTCCAAGAGTGGGATCGCTGCCCTGAAAGACAAAGGGGCCTGGTGAGGGGAACTGCTCGGAGCCAGGCCTATGGATCAGCCACGCCGCTGCCGAAACTCACAGAGGGGCCCCAGCCCCGCACACACTGACAGCGCCAGCTAGCAGGTCGCCATGGGCAATGCCAGCAGAACCCTGGGCTTCTCAGTCGGTCTGTGGGACGGCTCCTCAGTAGGGAGCGGCTCTGGGGCATATTTCCCAGCAGGGTGCAGCACCAGTGCAGCATCCCGGTTTTTCAGTTTGGTTCTGACTCCCCTGTTTTTCCCTCAGGCCCAGGCCAGCCGAGTGACCACCCACAGGTGCAGGGACATGGCCAGACGCTAGCCCTCCCCACAGGGGGCTTTCCCTGAGGGAGCCGGGGGCAGCCTGGGGGGTTCAGGAGCTGAGGGCCGGGCTGACAGCCTTTGCCCGAGTTGGAAATGGACAAAAATGCACTGAAGCCGAAAAGCTTTTAGCGAGCTCCTTATATGGAGATTGAGCTGCCGGACACAGCAGCCGGTTGCAGCCGGGGGCGCTGAGTGCGCCTGAGGGATGCGGGAAAGGAAAGGGAGAGGCAGATAAAGCTCTTCAAAGGGCCTCAGCACTCCAGCCTGCTCAGTGACCAGCTCCCAGTGACCATCCCAGCGAGGCCCAGTCCCAGCCCGGTGTCCGGACCGTCCCAACGGGGCCCAGTCCCAGCCCGGTACCCAGACAGTCCCAGCAGGGCTGTGTCACTGCCGGCACCCGGACCGTCCCAGTGGGGCCCAGTCACAGCTCGGCACCCGGACCGTCCCAGTGGGGCCCAGTTAAAGCTCGGCGCCCGGGCTGTCCCCACAGGGACCAGAAGTTACCGAAAGAACGCTCCCCATGCTGCCCTGCAGCCCAGCGCTCCTCCAGCCTTGGGCTCTGCCAATGCCCCTGATTCCTAACCCTAACCCTAACCCTGCCCCTCACTGCTAGTCCAGCCCCAGGTCCTACCCGCATCCACAGCTGTGCCGATGCCCCTCAGTTGCCAGGGTGGTGTGCAGCAGATTAAGACTGGTGCTATGGCCGATATAGCAGCTGGTGTTAAAAGTGCAGCAACCACTTTTTTCCTCGGCGGCAAGATTTCTTTGAAAACATTTACGCGCCAGGCCAAAACCAGCCGGCTGCATTTCCCAGGATGCTGGTATCAGTGCTGCCATGACATCGCCCCCTGCAGGGCTTGGGGGAAGGAGCTGGGTGTGTGCCAGAGTCCCCATAACTAAGAATCACAGCGTAACAGACTCCACGGGCCTGAGGGGTGCCAGGCTGTGCCCTGTCAGGCTGCCCTGGCCTGCCTATTCCTGAAGCTGTGGTGAGAGGCCAACTTCCCCATCTCAGCCTCGTGCCCTGAGCAATGTGCAGCACCATCCTGGGGGCACCACCCCACCCCAGCAGTTATCAGATGCTGCCAAGAAGGAGGAATGGTAATTGCCCCCATCTGCGCTGGCATCACCGGTCAGCCAGCCCCCACAGACACCAGATCTCTGAGGGCAATGCTGGCGCTCGCCCTGCCAGCGTTCCCAGCAGTCTATTACCCAGGGCGCTGGCACTCCAATCCCACCATCTCACAGACTTCAGCAGGCTGTGCCACAGCAGCTCCCCCACCATGTCCAGCACCTCACAGGGAGCTTCCGGAGACATGCCCTGCATGTCACCTCTCGCTGCACGGCGCAGCTTGGGCATCGCCCCAGAAAGCCCCTCTCTCTGCTCCAGCCTGGGTGCCCACTCTTCATACCCCCTCTGGCAGCTACGGGCATGTTACCCAGCTGCCCACTGGCATAACAATGGCAGAAACAGCATATGGGCGCCAAGGGCCCTTGGTGCCGGATGCCAGATGCCCTCCCTGCCCCCTGGTCAGGCTGTGGTGGAGCCACATTGGCATTTGTCTGGGTTGGAGGGATTTCAGGGTCAATCCCCTCCCGCCGTGTGACTGCTTCTCTTCCACCTGTCTGCCATGCCTGCTCAGGAGTGACCCCCCCGTACTCTAGAGCTGCTCTGGCCCCTCTCCACCCCTCACAGAGCTCCAGCTGCAGGGGCTGGGCAGGGTGGGGCTTTGCCTGCTCCAGAGTCCTGGGGAGCCCCAGATGGCATGATGCTCACCCAGGCGAGACTCTGACTCCCAGGGAGAGCAGCTGGTCCCTTTTGGTGGACGAGGGCGCAATCTCCCCTCCTACACCCCCTGTGGTGGCAGACCCACCTGCAGACACCCCCAGCTGGAGGAGAGCCCCATCACTCTGTGGGGCTCAGACTGAAGACAGGAAGGGAGGGTGGCGTGGCCTCCCCCCCGCCAGCCTGGGCCCCACCTCCTAGGGCAAGTGTGACATTATTGACATGAACTGTAACCACATAGATCATTGTTGCAACCACTGTTATATATTTGCAGCAAATATTATACAAAGGTTATAGAGTAAGGTGTCTATGAGAAGGTTATGATTTGCTGGTTATGATTATGCTATCTGTATGCATGTATCATGTGGCTATAAACTCCATCTTGTTGCTGTGATTTTGCACAGGAGAACAAAGGGGTTTCCGCCCACAAGAGAAAGAATATAAAAGGCCCTGGAAACCCCTCCATTTTGTCTTCAATCCTGCTTCTTACCTCTAGAGGAACTTTGCTACAAACTGAAGCTCTGAACAAAGGACCGAATGACCCATCCAAGCTGTGGATGTACTTCAGAGACTTGATTTGAACCTGCAGTTTATTCCATCACTGCTACAAGCCTGAACCAAGAACGTTGCCATTACTGTATGTAATTAATTCCATTTAGCCAGTTTTAGCTCTCATCTATATTTCTTTCTTTTTATGAATAAACCTTTAGATTTTAGATTCTAAAGGATTGGCAACAGTGTGATTTGTGGGTAAGATCTGACTGGGTATATTGACCTGGGTCTGGGAGTTGGCCCTTTGGGATCGGGAGAATCTTTTTGTCTTTTACTGGGGTATTGGTTTTCATAACCATTCACCCCCATAAGGAGCAGTGCTGGTAGTGATACTGGAAAACTGGAGTGTCTGAGGGAATTGCTTGTATGACTTCTGATTAGTCAGTGGGGTAAAACCAAAGTCCTCTCTGTTTGGCTGGTTTGCTGTGCAAAGGACCCCCAGCCTTGGGCTGTGACTGCCCTGCTCTAAGCAATTTGTCCTGAATTGATACTCTCAGTCATGTCCTGCCAGAGGCCACATTGTTACAGTGGCGTAGTCGGGCTTGGATAAACATTACCACAGGTTAATTGGGTTTTTGGTTCAGAACCACACGCTTGTCAAAATTTAAATTTGATATTGGAGAGTTTAAGGATTAAAAATCAGTTACAATGAGTGATCCATGATCAAGATCCTAACGGAAAAAGCCTGGAAGAATTGTGCTTACAGAGAGGGTTGTATTTTAAACTAAAGGACCCAGAGCAGGAACTGAAAAATCTGTTAATTATCGGTGATAAGGAAGCAGACCCAACAAAAATGCTTGCAGTGAGAAACCAGAGCAGCTAGAACATGAACAAAAGCAAAAAGTAGATGATATGGAAGGAGAAGTTACTGAAAGAGAACACCTGTGTTTTGAACAGGAACAAAAAATGGCATACATTTGATTGCAGGAACTAGAAGCTAAGGCAAAAGTGGACAGACTTGAGCTCCAGCTCATGAGAATAAGGAACAACGGGAACTGTATCATACTGAAAAACTAGTCCCTCTCAACAACAAAGATGGGGATAGAATCTATCCAGTTTGTAACAATGTTGGTATGTTGTTTGACTCTAAACAGTTGTCTGTGTGTAACCAAATTTACCCCAACGCTGGTACCTTTTATGTAAATACTTTTACTGTGAGCTCAGATGGAGGGAACGCCATAACTTGTGTAGAGAATGTAAAAGTCAATGGTAAAAGCTGTTTAAGGAAAATTACAGATTCTAACATCACTCTTGTTAAAGCAGATCTTGTCAAAGAGGAAGATTATTTACCAAATAAGAGTGTGAATACTGTCATCCTCTATGAGCTTACTGTAAGTGTGCCTTTAGCCAGAATCCATCTTGAATGGAATGGTGTTAAACATGAAGTTATAACTCGTATAAGAAAGTTATTGCTTAAGGATCTTTTGATTGGGGATGATATTAAAGCTTTGTTCAGTCAGGTTGACATAAACCAGTCACAGGAAAGAAATAATCCTGAACCTGTGTCTATTAAGGGCAAGGATTTGCCTATGGAGGGTTTCTCCAAATGTTTGTCTGAGGAAGATGGCTGTTTGTCTGTGCAAAGAAGCAGTGCATATGTGGAAAACATTTCTGAGTGTCTGTCTGATATCTCAGAATTGAATCTGGCATTAGATTAGGCTCAGGAAGATGTTTCTCTAGAGCAAATTAAAATTGATGATCAGGTTAAAGCCCTAACTGAAGAAGGAAGGGGGACATTCTTGGTGAGTGATAAATTGTTGGCTAGTAAAGGTTGGGAAAGTAAACCTGACCCAAGTAAAAGTGATGTGCTTAAAGTAGCTCAGTGTAATAAGACTCTATTTGTAGAAAACAGCAGTTTACCTGGTAAGGAAGCTGCCCCACTCTCCCAGTATTTGTCTGTAACCAGCTCTGTGTGCTGGGACAAGGGAGAGGAAGGCAAGGAAAGTTTGGATGAGGCTAGGCAGCCTTGCGAGCTGATGGCTTTGTATAATCAGTAGTACGGGAAGGCAAGGATAGTGGAAAATGAGTATCCTTATACCTTACCTGTTACCTATGTGGAGAATTGTGTCAGTGAAGCAGTAGCGTAGCTAGCAGGGTGCAGGAGAAGCAGCCGCTTCCCCCGCCTTTCCGAAAGCGGCCAGAGGAGCGGGGGAGGGCGCGGCATGCGGCCCGCAGCACGGCCCGGCAGCTGCGGACGGAGAAGCGGGGGGGGGCGCAGCCTGGTGGCCCGCAGCATGGCCGGCAGCCAGGGGGGGCAGCGGCGGGCATGGCCAGAGGAGCGGGGCGGGCACAGCCGGAGGAGTGGGGGGTGTGCGGCCTGC